TGTTAAAAAAAATGCGCTCGTTTAGTCAGATGCGAGTGTGAATGTTCGCGCGAGAGAACGTGTCTAATCGGGCGAAACTGCGCAACGTGGCCGTTGAGAACTGCGCAACGCAGGGTTGACTCTGACCAGGGTCAAATGGTATGTGATACTAGGACTGAACCCACGAGAAGGGAGATCATGGAGTTAGGAAATTGCTTACATCCCCCAGAATTCCTTCCCCCTGAGGCTTATGTTAGTTCCAAACACCTTGAGTCACTAACTTTAGCGTCTCCCCCCACCAAGGCATAAGCGCCCTGATCCCTATAACATCACTAATTACATGCTACAATACGAATGAAAATGATATGGTGAGGGCCCAAGACCTAAGACCAAAGACCTAAAATGCCTTTGTCGTGACAGTGTGCACCGCTTTGGTTAGGAATTTGGCTGCCTTACTCACGGATAAAATTGCTCCACGGATTAAATCTAGCCGATCCGCGCCATTGAGTCTCTCAATCAACACGGTCATGTGAAAAATGAACGAAAATGTACAAAGTCAGCGCACATTGCAACAGGCACGGTCATCGGGAGAGGGGGGGGGGTTATGTATATAACAACCGAATTGCGCGAAAATGCACAGAATGCACACCAACCTCCAGCGAAGGATCGTGAATAAAAACAACGATAAGTTTCACGGCACTTCGTGCTTCGCGTTGAACCTGAACAAATTTGATTCAGCTGATGAGATCAATTGATCAATACTTATCAAATAACTCACATCGTCGTATGAACCGCGGAAGAAGTCCACCGTATGCCTGCTACCGAGGGTGAACTTGTTGGCGTACTCGGATCGGAATCGAGTCACATCACGTCTTGGATCTTTTGGCCTCGCCGGTTGCTCAGGATACGTGAATGGAGAAGGCCTTTGAGCAACTGGTCGAGGTCTGGAGGCAGCAGCATCGGGAGCAGCACTACCTTCATCAGATGATGTACCTTGGCCAAACAAAGAAGGAAATATGCTGGCCAGTGAAAATTCTGCTGGCTTCGGACTCGGATTCTCCACTGCTGTGCGAATCCCTTCCGAGTGCTCAGCAGATTTCGGATATGGGCTCTCGGCTCCGACAACCTTTTGACTATCCTCCGCTCGCCGGCTTTTCGGTGTTGAGACTTCCTGCTCCGATCCAGTCCTTGGCGTGCCTTTCGCGCTTTGATACCATTTTTCGCGATGGCTATTGACTGCCACTAAATCACTTTCATGTTGGTGCTCCGAACTGTCGCTGATTAGGAACGGTTCATGTCCCACCCGGCTTTTTGGAGTTTCCACCGCTACATGCACAGATTGAGTTTGTCGATCGCTAACTGCAGGCGATTCTCCAACGAACCTCTGAGGAGTCCCACTCACTGACATTGCCGAGATCGAGTTTTGGCTGACAAATCCTAATTGTCCTTGTTCCCGCATTTCTTCACCTGACGTTGGGGTGATCACGATGCGTTGATGAGGGGTGCGAGGGGTAGTCGCCATTGGAACAGCTTCTTCAATCAAGTTCTCCTGCTGAATTTCCTCAGCACCTCTTGCCGTCTGACTGAGCTCTCCTCGGCCAAGCAGGGCGCTTTCTTGACCTCCTGCGGAGTTCTTTCACTGACCTGACCAGCCTTTGATTCTTTTGCCTTCAGAGATCTTGCTGGTTGTTCTAACTGCTCATGTTTACGACTAAATCCGAAGATTTCTCGCTCCAAACTACTGTCCAAACTGCTGTGGGAACTGCTGGACATTTCCTTCACTGATTGCTCCCTTTCTTTGCTAACCAAAACAGCACGTTGGTCCTGCCGCGTCTCGTTAACCTTTCCAGGGACTAATGCTGACATTTGGGTGGGCTGTTCTAGGCTAATGCCAGGCTCCGTTTTCACTTGAGGTACTGCCGGGACAATTTGAGCAATCGGGGCTGCCTTTGACACTTTTTTCATCAACAGAGGCCTAGCTGTTACCAAATGTTCTGATTCTTGAGCACAGCTGGCACCGAGAACTTCAGGCTCTGTCTTGCTTTCTATATTATTCTGAAGACTACTGAGGAGTTCCCCCACCGACGGTGGTTTTTCTTCATTGAATAGTACAGAATGCTGGCTCTGCTGCCTTTCTTCGATCTTTCCAGGAACCAACACTGATCCTTGGGCTTGTTGTTGTCGGTTGAGGTCGAGCTCTTCTATCTTTTGAGTAGCCTGATCCGTCTTTGGTCCGCTTGTCACAACTTCTTTTTTCGGCTTATCAAGGC